TAATTACTAGTTAGTTACCATGATCTTCACTTTAGAATACGGATCCAAATAATTAGTCATTCCTTTAGAAGTATGTAGTAACACTTGAGTCATTACTAGTTAGTTATCATGATTCTTACATGAAAAGCCAATCCTAAAGTGTAGAATCTTCTAATCCTTCACAAGATATTTGCACACACGTATATGAGGTAGGAGACATTAATAAAATCTTCTCTTTTTTTTGCGAGGTATAGGTCAAATAATAAAATCACTGTATATGGTATTTGGATGGCCGATAACTCAATATGCCGTCACCGTGACTCTGGCCAATTTTCTGGCATTCCTCTGGACTGGCATTGAATCACTACAGGACAAGTGCTGACAACTGCATTTAAAAAGCCATTTCTTTAAAATTATTCAGTTGATAAATAGTTCTCTAGGAGAGAGCATAGGCTAATTATTTTCCAAATCATAAGTCTGCTATGCTATTACATATTGATAAACCTTGTGTATTTGTTTACAGTAGCAGTTATTAATGTTAATGTAGTGCTAGTCATTTGTCCTGCATTAGTTATTGATTAGTTTTGCATGAACTATTAATCTTCTTCAGTAGTTCTCTGGGAAGCATTCAAAAAATAGTAGTTATCAATTAGTTAATAGTGAACTACCACTTTCATCTGTGCGCTGTTACTTACTAATTATCAGAATTTCTTGTTAGTTAATAGTAGTTACCAGATTGTTAATATTGTGTTACTCATTTGTTCCTGTGTAGTTATTCATTAACGAAGGAACCGTATTCTAAAGTGTTACCCAAAGACATAAAGCATAGAAGTTGTCACTCATGAGTGGTTGTAATGAAGTACACAAAGACAAGGAATATCACAGAACAGTCTTTAATCTTAATCCAACACGGAACACTTAGGAGAATCACAGAAAGTAATACAATAAACACAACCACATATAACATAAACGCAACCGATAACGGACAAAGAACAGACAGAACTCAGAGTTGAAATACACAGGGAGAAATAATTAACAAAACTAGAAACAGCTGTGGGATTAATTAACAACCAAGGAAACTAAAGCCGCGTTTCCACCAAAATTACCCAGAACAATTTGTCCCAGGAACTTTTTCCCCCCAGACCTGTTACTGTCTGCGTTTCCATCGTGGTCTAAAGTACCGTGAAGATTAGGCAAATTAGTCCGGTGATGTAGGTCTGCGTGCTACTTTCCAGTTCCCACTGGATTCCATCCTCTGAATTTAAGCTTAATAAAACCTGAACCTCGTCGTCTGTCCATCGGTCGTATTTTCAAACTCCATTGTTGATTAGAATAGCAAACCACTCTTACTGCACGCACCGCAACAGACTTTAAAAAATGGTGGCTGAAATAAAATGCTGTGTATAGTCAACCAATCAAAATGCTGCATGAAATCAACCAATCAGCATGTTCAGCGCCAATGTACCACCCCCGAAAGTTCCTGAACTTTGAAAAAGTACTACCTCGCCAGCAAGGACTTTCTGAGGGGCAAATTTTTACCCGGAACTTAATTTAGACCCTGGTTACTGCGGTCGAAACACACCGAGTACCAACCCAAAGTTCCTAGTTCCTGGGGAAAGTTCCTGCGGTGGAAACGCAGAGAAAATTAAACCAAAACAGAACATACGCGTTACACCCACCCCCTGGGAAGGCGTGTCCTCACGCCGTAACAGTCCAACTGAGGAAGGATGATGGTGGCAATGACAGTGGGAGGAGCAGGGAGGAGAGGAGAGCAGGAGTAGCCAGGCGGGGACCCAGAGTACAGCCAGGACGAAGGTATACTGCGAAGTCGAGGGAGGGAGGAGCCATGGTGGAGACTTGGCCGATGAAACCAGGGGGGCGATGGACGGCGACTGTGCCAATGGAGGTGGAGACCCATGCGGAGCCGAAGAGCTGAGTGTCCAAGGTGGAGCCCAGGAGGCCAGAGGACCAAGATGGAGCTGGAGGGAAGATGAAGGCCCAGAAGTCCGTGGAGCAGACAGAGCGACCTCCTACCAAGGCGAAGCCATAAGGGCGATAGTCCCAGGTGGAGCTGAGGGAGGAAGGAGCCAATATGGAACCGACTGGTCGTCGAGCTGAGGTGGAGTGATGGCTGGGGGCTGGAGGTGGAGCCAGGGGATCCTTAAGCCAAGGCAGAACTGGTGACTGGAAGATCCGACATGCATCCACACAGCTTTGTGGAGCAAACAAAGGAGGAGCCGAAGAGAACCATCCTCTTCTGAATCCTCCAGCTGCAGCTTACTCTCAACGGCGGGAGTGTGTGCGGGGCCTTCTTTCGTCCCACGCACCTGGTCAGTGGGGCTGGTGACATCCTCCTCAGCAGCGCAGATGGTGAAGGCAGACCCGCAGTTCACCAGCAGGCACTCCACAAACTCAGTGAATGTCCCCCGAGCACCATCACCGGGAGAGGCGTGCCTTGGTGCGTTCGTTTAGGCTGGTCAGAATTTGCACAAGGAGTGATTCGGGAAGTTCGTTAGGCACGACAGTAAAAATCCTCTGGTGTAGCTGCTCTTGCTCTAGGCAGAGCAGCTGGACGGCCGACAAGTCCATTTTTGTCATTTTTTTAGGTATGGTATTCTATCTCACATGAGTGTCTGTAATGAAGCGCACAAGGATGAAGGAATATCACAGAACAGTCTTTAATCTTAACACAGAACACTCAGGAGAATCACAGGGAGTAATACAATGAACACTACCACATATAACATAAACACAAAACAATGCCAGACAAAGAACAGACAGATCTCAGGGTTTAAATACACTGGGAGAAATAATTAACAGAACTAGGAACAGGTGTGGGATTAATTAACAACCAAGGAATTAAATAGAGACACAGAACACAGGCAAATGAGCATAGGAAACACAGAGAAAACTAAACCAAAAAAGAACATACATGTTACAGATGTAGCCAAAGCAATGGTTATTATTAATCTTCAAGTCTTTTTTTTAATGCATATATTTTTGTCTGATCACAAAGTATAAACATAAAACTTGTTAAAAAGATTAAAAAACAACAGATGGAGAGGTTTCTCATTGCATGTTTTCTCAGGGAGATTGAAACAAACACATTGTGTTTTTTCCAGATTTTGTTCCCTTGGGAAACATGGTACTTTGAAGCAGAAAGACATTTTCAGATATGCTGTTGCACCTGTGCATCCACTGTGCCAGCTCTCTCACCCAGACTGAACTCAACCATCTCACTGTTTTGAATTTCAATGATCTGCTCTGCGCTGGCACACATCTGTTTAATGTGACACAGATGCTGCACAGTGTGTTTGTGAGCAAGATAAGAAAACGTTTACACAAGTGTATTTTATGAATTTATTTAGGTTGCCTTGACTTGATATATGATGCCATCATAAATCCTGTTTTGTGGTTTAGTTTTCATTTAATCTTTATTTGATAAATGAAACGGTGATGGCATTAAGTCAGTGAGTTAGTACTGTAATTAGTGCTTAAACATTAGCTTTGAAGGCACATTAAGCTGATTGCTCTCATCATCAGAAGCTCATTCTCATTGATATTTAACCTCCTTAATGCAAAAGAATGTGGAGGTTTAAATGGTACATGGAAATTTGGGCATAATAGCACAATCTAGTGACTAACTTAAATCAGTTAAAACAGAAGCTAACCTTAAACGAACAGAACACTCTCCATGACCTTACATGAGCAATGGATGCTCATGACCTCAATGCACAATTGCTATCGGGGATTATACCAAACATTTCTATAGCCATTTCTGTCACGGTGAGACACGGAGATGAACCCAAACGCAGACAGTATAAAATAAGACACGGTTTAATGACAACAAAACAGAAAGTAAAACCCACGAGGGGGCGAAACAGATGGAACACAGAATACCACACTGACTAGACTAAACTGGGAAACAACTGAACAAGAAAACAAACAAGACTTCAAGCGATGCTAACAATGACTAGATGTACACAGGGTACTCACGATCAACGTATAACAATGAACCGACACAAGACAGCAAACACAAGGGGATTAAATAGGAAGACTAATCAAACATAACAGGTGACACGGGTGAAACACTAATGACAGAATCAGGATAACAAGGGGGCGGGGTAACGAGACGAGACAACACAAGCACATGACCAAAACACAAGGCCATGTGCTTGCACACAGAACATGGGTCTGTCATGATCCTGCCAAAATACTAGAACTCACAGACCTGATGGCAGAATCATGACAGTTTCAACCAACCATTTCTAGACTGTCTTGCATGTCAGTCCCCTTATAAATATGTGATTAACTCAGCTTTCAGCACCTGTTAAAATCTGTGATTGGGATCTCTCATCACATTTACTGAAAACAGTGGCTGCAATAAGATTTCGCTCTGAATCCCCCTCTTACCAGATGTTACTTTAGGTAATTACTAATAGTTACATTATTATCCTTATTCACTATTAAAATATAAAATATAAAATGAGTATTACATACATAAAGTACAAGTACAACATACAATTCAACCAAATAAGCCTGGTGGTACATATCTGGGTGGTACATATATTTTGCCATAAAAGCACGATGTAGTGACAGTCGATTACACAGCAGCTAACCTTAAATGAAGACCCTCCATGAACTTTTTTGCACAATTGCTATGATAGAATATCCAATCAAAGGCAATCTCCTTCCTCCTTTTTTCCTCTTACGTCCTATTGGTGTTATGGCAGCGGTAGAAGCTTTAGCTAATGGATGTTCATCTTTCCTTATTTGTTTCACTTGAGCTAATCTGCTTTGCTTGTATACTCACACAATCTGATGAGCCGCTTTGTGCACCAGTTTAACCTTTGCTTTGGCAAGCTCAGCAGCATGCAGCAGCAGCAACTTCCAAAATTTCCAAAAAACACCACCATGTGGTAAAAAGAAGATGCTACACTTTTAATTTTTTAGATGCAACAGTTTTAAATGGCTCAGTTTTGACCAAAACAAATTTACTATGAAGTTTATATCCCTCACAGGGTAATGCCGGATCCTCTGCTGCTGGAATTAAGGTAAAACACAACCTCAGAATAATTTTTATCTTTAAGTCCGTGTTGTTTAGCAAGATCTACTTTTTCATTTGATATATACAGATGAGCACTTACAGGCATTCTTATTGTTACAGGGTGAGCCAGGAGAGCCAGGACGTGGAGGACAAAAGGTAAAACTGCATACTGCACTGAGTATTCACTTACGATTGTTATTGTTTGGAACAAATGACTGCACATGTGTCTTAATGACAGCTGATTCATTTATGGAAAACACTGGGAATTTGTTTTAATAAAACATGTAGTCATTAATGTTTAACCATAAAGTATTATAGCATACTTAATTTTCTGCACCGTATGGCTGTATGAAGCAAAGCTTACCAACATTTGCTTGCTGCTATTAAGCATGTGAATGTCAGGCACCAACCTACTCAAGAAAGAAAGCGCTTTTTAGCAAGGTCAGCTTCCTTTCCAGCCGGATTTCAGGTGAACTAATATGACTTATAAATGCACTTTTTTATTTGATGTTTTTAGGGAACCTTTTAGTTTGTGCCTTAGTACACCTTGGCATAAACTATTCATTTACTGAGAATTGAAATCCTTTCCTGCTCCAACATAAGCCGTAAAAACATAATTCTACACCATGCTGTTATAGTTTGTCTACTTTGTATTATTTCTTTATGTTTTGCATCACACTTTATTACTTGTTCTGTTTACTATTAAAACAACGTTAGGCTTCACTGAATAATCAATCTGCTCCAAATTCAGTGTGAGAATCCAAGAGAACAGCTTGAGTTCTCTTGCAGAAATCTTCATCACATTTACAGGACTTAAAAAAAGTCCTGTGTAAACATACAACTCTAAAACTGCAGTCTGGGATCTTTTTAACAGCACCATTTTGAGCACCAGTACTCACTTTTCACATGTGTATTTATTTCAGCAGAGCATGAGCTAATTAACAACAGAATTGTATCATGGTTACGTGGTATGTTAGTGCTTCTGAGGTTTTAGTTTTTCTTCCTCTTTTCTCATGATATATGTGACGAGTCAGACATGTGAGGCAGATCCATTTGCAACAATTTAATAAGCTGTCTCGAACAAACATAAAGCTTTCAGTAGAAGGATAACACAAGGCAGGTATGCTCGTAAGGACCGGACTCTAGTCCGGGGCTGTGGCCAAAACTCAGGGTCAGAAACAGGCTTGGTTCGGAGCGGGCAGCAGACAACAGGATAACCGGAGACGGGCGGTGAACGTGATTTCACCAAGTACCACATGTTACTGGATCAACATCGTTGTTGATCCTGGATCAACTTTCCAATCAACCAATCAGATTTGAGGGACAAGTTTACAGTTTATGTCAAGTTTAGGCTTAGAACCAGGGTTAAGTACTTAAACATCAGTGTCATTCACCTTTCATTACCCTCTGATTTTAGGGAAAAGTTATGGGTAGGGTTAGGTTTAGGGGTAGGGATTGGGTAAGGACTACATTTTGGGACAGGAATGTTGATCCAGGATCAACAAAATATGTTGATCCAGGACCATGACTTGGCAAAATCACGGTGACCGGAGACGGGCAAGGTTCAGGGCTGGCGGCGAGAATCAGAATCCAGGTACAGGCAACGGTCACTTGGCAGGCTGCAGACAGTCAGAGAGGTTAGTAACAGGCTAGGTTCAGTCACACAGATAGTCAAGGAAACTGGAGAGCGCTCGGACATGAAACACGGGGTGAAACAATACTTCACACAGGGTGCCGAGTTAACGAGGCAGATATAGCTTAGGGACCAGAGTAGATACAGAACAGGTGAAATGCAATCAGAGCGTAACGATCCCTACTAAGCTGAAGTATGAGACCCTTAGTATTCAAGAGAGAGAGCACAGGACTGAGAGTGCAGGGAATCACCAGGGCTAGACGCCGTAACAGAGCCCCCCCCCCTGCGAGCGCCTCCTGGCGCGAGGAAACTGACGACGGCGGGGTCTGCCCCGAGGTCGAGGAGCAGGTCTATCAGGGTGATTGCGGTGAAAGTCCTGAATAAGCGACGGATCCAGTATGTCATTGGCATTGACCCAGGAACGTTCCTCTGGACCAAAGCCCTCCCAATCTACCAGATACTGAAAATGCCCACCGCGACGTCTAGAGTCCAGTAGATGATGTACTCTGTAAACCCCCTCACCCTCTAACAGGATAGGCTGGGTAGCAGCGTCCTCCGATTCCTCTCTCCTCTCTACAGAACGGACAGAGGCTGGTTTGAGCAGGGAGACGTGAAACGTTGGCGAGATGCGCATGTGTCTGGGTAGATCTAGGCGAAACGACACGGGGGTGATTTGACGGATTATCTTGAATGGACCCAAGAATTTCGGACTAAGTTTCTTGCAGGGTAGTCTGAGGCGTAAATCTCGTGTGGATAGCCATACCCATTGGCCGGTTTGGTACTCTGGCCCTGGCCTGCGATGACGGTCAGCCTGTTCCTTGCCACGTCTTACAGCGCGTTGGAGATGAGTATGGGCCAGGTTCCAGGTCTCCTCACTTCGCCTGAGCCAATCATCCACAGCAGGGACACTGGTGGGCTCACCCGACCAGGGGAACAGAGGCGGCTGAAATCCGGGGACGCATTGAAAAGGAGTCATCCCTGTAGAGTGCTTGAGTATGGAATTTTGTGCATATTCAGCCCACATGAGGTAGCGGTACCAATCCTCCTGATGACCGAGGCAGTAGGAACGAAGGAAGCGGGAAATCTCCTGGTTGAGACGTTCAACTTGCCCGTTGGCCTGGGGATGATACCCAGAAGTGAGACTCACATTGATCTGAAGTTTCTCAAAGAAGGCAGTCCAGACGCGAGAAGTAAATTGAGGACCTCTGTCGGACACAATATCTTCTGGTAACCCATAAAACCGGAATACAAAATTACATAGATGTTCAGCCGTCTGCAGAGCTGTGGGCAGCTTGGTGAGCGGAATGAGCCGGCATGCTTTAGAGAAGCGGTCAATGACAGTGAGTATGGTGGTGTAACCATCTGAGGGAGGCAGATCCGTGATAAAATCAACAGCGATATGGGACCAAGGCCGTTGGGGAATAGGCAGAGGTTGAAGAAGGCCAGCTGGTAGCTGACGAGAGGATTTCTGGGTGTTACAGATCCGACAGCATTGAATGAATTCACTCGTGTCTCGGGAGAGCGTGGGCCACCAGTAGCGGTTTTGAAGAAGGTGAATGGTGGCAGTGATTCCAGGATGTCCGGAGCTGGGAAGGGCGTGCACGTGGTCTATTACCTTGTTTCGAAGTGTTTCTGGCACAAAGATTCTCCCAGGAGGACAGTCCGTAGGTATCTCAATGTCAGCATTGGCTTGAGCGCATTCGGTTTCAATATCCCACTGAACAGGTCCGAGAACAAGATCAGGGCAGATAACAGGTTCAGGAGCCGGAGCAGCTGCCTCGGAGTCAAATAGACGAGACAAAGAGTCAGCCTTGGTATTTTTTGAGCCGGGACGGTAAGTAACCGTGAAGCGGAACCGGGAAAAGAATAGTGACCACCTGGCTTGACGTGCGTTCAGTCTCTTGGCCGTGCGAAGGTACTCCAGGTTCTTGTGGTCTGTGTAGACTGTGAATGGATGAGTAGCTCCCTCTAGCCAGTGGCGCCACTCCTCGAATGCTGATTTCATGGCTAATAGTTCACGGTCTCCGACATCATAATTTCTCTCCGCTGAGCTCAACTTCCTGGAGTAGAAGGCGCAGGGGTACAGCTTAGGAGGGTCGCCCTGACGTTAAGAGAGCACCGCTCCTAGTCCGGTGTTCGAGGCATCCACCTCCACCACGAAGGGCAACTCGGGGTTAGGATGGTGCAAGATGGGAGCAGTAGTGAAACTGACTTTGAGCTGCTTAAAAGCCCGGGAAGCATCTTCGCTCCAAGGAAGTCGATTCGTGCCCTTCCGAACCAGAGCTGTCAAAGGGCTTGCCACTGAGCTGAATCCCCTGATGAAACGACGGTAGAAGTTTGCGAAGCCCAGGAAACGCTGCAACTCCTTCAAAGTGGTGGGTTGGCGCCAGTCTACCACTGCTTTAACCTTATTCTCATCCATGGCCACGCCCTCTGGGCTGATGACATATCCCAGGAAGGTTGTGGAGGTCTGATGAAAGTCACATTTCTCCAACTTGGCGTAGAGCTGGAACTGGATGAGTCTTTGAAGTACAGCTCGGACATGCTGAATGTGGGCTTCGTGGGTGTCTGAATAGATCAGAATATCATCTATGTAGACGATTACACTTCGGTGGAGCAGATCACGGAAAACATCATTGACGAAGGATTGAAAGACAGCTGGGCTGTTTGAAAGCCCGAAAGGCATAACGAGATATTCATAGTGCCCTGTGCTTGTGGAGAATGCAGTCTTCCACTCGTCCCCCTCTCGGATTCGAACCAGGTTATAGGCGGAGCGTAGGTCCAGCTTGGTATAATATTTGGCCGTTCGAAGGAGCTCTAAAGCGGCAGGTACCAGAGGCAGCGGATAACGGAACTTAACTGTGCATTCATTAAGTGATCTGTAGTCGATACAAGGTCACAGTCCCCCATCTTTCTTTTTAACAAAAAAAAAAACCAGCCGACATTGGAGAAGTAGAAGGACGAATGAACCCCTTTGCGAGCTCCTCTTCTATGTACTTCTGCATGCTTTTGGTCTCAAGTTGGGACAGTGGGAAGATGCGGCCTCTGGGTGGTGTGGTACCAGGTAAGAGATCAATGGCACAATCATATTCACGATGAGGTGGTAACCGGGTAGCTTTGACTTTACTGAAGGCTTCGGCTAGATCGTGGTACACGGCTGGCAGGCGTGATAGCAAGGATTCATCTCGGGGCTCGGAGATACTTCGGACCTGAAAGGGTTTGACGGTAGACAAACACCTTGAAAAACAGCTCTCTCCCCAGCTGACTATCTGTCCAGTCGTCCACTCCAAATGAGGGTTGTGGTTCCTTAGCCAGGGTAAGCCCAGAATTACCGGCGTGTGAGGAGCTTGGAGAATGTAGAAATGGATTTTCTCATGATGAAGCAGACCAGTACGCATGTGAAGTTCCTGTGTTACGTGTGTGATGTGACCTGTGCCGAGTGGGCGTCCGTCAACAGCTTCAACTGAAAGCGGAGATGTGCAGGGAATTAGAGCTATCTCGTGGACCTGGGCAAAATCTTTAGACATAAAATTCCCGGCTGCCCCTGAGTCAACTAAGGCTAAAGTATTAACAGTTTGTCCATTTACAGAGAATTCAAGAGGCACTGAGATACAGGAAAGTGGATTTAAACAGTCAAGGGTTAGACTTACCGAGGTTTTTTCCTTGAGTGTAGAACGTCGGGGGCAGTGTAGACGAAAGTGACCATCTCCTCCGCAGTACATGCATAATTTCAGGGTCCTGCGGCGCTCCCTCTCCTCCTCGGATATGTGTGACGCGTTGATTTGCATGGGTTCGTAGGCTTCAGCGGAGGAAAGTGAAGCACGTGGTGTGGAGATGTCGCGCGAAGTGCTCGTTGAGCGGAGGCAAGAGCGACGTGAGCGCATCAAGTTGTCAATCTGGATGGTGAGATGAACGAACTGATCAAAGTCCTTTCCCTCGTCGCGACAGGCCAGCTCGGCTTGTAATTCGTGATTGAGACCCCTCCGAAAAACCACTTTGAGAGCGTTCTCCGTCCAGTTGGTTTGAGCTGCCAGAGTTCGGAATTTGAGCGCGTACTCCGTGGCGGGTGTCCTTCCCTGCGCGAGCTCCAAAAGAAGATCCTCAGCTCCTTTCCCCTCTTTGGCATGTCCAAAACCGCTTGGAAACGTTCCAGAAATTCTCCGTAAGATGAGAAGGCGGACCCATCCACACTCTCCAGACCGCGGTGATCCACTCCAGCGCGCGTCCGGTGAGTAATGAACATACAGAGGCGATTTTGCTTGCATCTGTGGCGTGTAGGGAAGTCTGCTGGGCGAGATACAGTGAACATTGCAATATAAAGCCCTTGCATTTACCTGGGTCTCCCTCGTATTTCTCGGGAAGCGCGAGGCGAGGATTAGTGCTCGCCGCATTAAGGGAGTCCGGAGGTAGAGCATGTGTAGTGGGCGCTGAAGCGGCCGTGGATCCCGCTGTAGACTTCTGCAGGGCTTGAACCGCTGAAATCAATTCCTCTGTAAGAGTGGTCAAACGGGACAACTGGTGGTGATGGGTGGCCAGCTGAGAGGCTTGGGCGGTGAAAGCGGCCGACAGAGCAGTCATTGTCGCTGGATCCTCGTTTGGCGAAGTATTCTGTGAAGAGTCAGACATGTGAGGCAGATCCATTTGCAACAATTTAATAAGCTGTCTCAAACAAACATAAAGCTTTCAGTAGAAGGATAACACAAGGCAGGTATGCTCGTAAGGACCGGACTCTAGTCCGGGGCTGTGGCCAAAACTCAGGGTCAGAAACAGGCTTGGTTCGGAGCGGGCAGCAGACAACAGGATAACCGGAGACGGGCAAGGTTCAGGGCTGGCGGCGAGAATCAGAATCCAGGTACAGGCAACGGTCACTTGGCAGGCTGCAGACAGTCAGAGAGGTTAGTAACAGGCTAGGTTCAGTCACACAGATAGTCAAGGAAACTGGAGAGCGCTCGGACATGAAACACGGGGTGAAACAATACTTCGCACAGGGTGCCGAGTTAACGAGGCAGATATAGCTTAGGGACCAGAGTAGATACAGAACAGGTGTAATGCAATCAGAGCGTAACGATCCCTACTAAGCTGAAGTATGAGACCCTTAGTATTCAAGAGAGAGAGCACGGGACTGAGAGTGCAGGGAATCACCAGGGCTAGACGCCGTAACAATATACTGTGCCCAAAGTAATATAATAATTAGGACTGTCAAGCGATTAATTTTTTTAATCTAATTTAATTACATGATATGCCGATTAATTAATCTAATTTATCGCCTAATTAATCTAATTTATCGCCAAATTAATCACACATCAAATTTGGCATCAAATTTTGATCCCCAAAAGATCATTTAAAGTCATTATTGTGTTAAATGAGAAAAGCATCAAATAGACATTACAAAAATGTGATTGCCGTGATTTGATTGTGATTTCAGACACCTGTCATGCCTGAGGCGTTCCCTAAAGTGTCATTCGACGCAGTGTGAGTTCCCTTTCAAAAGGGAACAGTCTGGTTACCAACATTCTTCAAAAGATCTTATTTTATAAGAAAGAAAGTCATACAGGTTTAAAATGACACGAGGATGAGTATCCTCAAAATATGATTTTTTTTTTTAAAAATTAAATGAAGTAATACTTTAAATAAGAAACTAAAACTGCCAGTTGGTGGTGGTAAATATCTAAACGAGCAAGTCATTAAGTCATTCAGTTCATTCATTCATTCATTCATTCGATTCATTCAAATGGCTGATTCATTTAGGAATTAAGTAAATGGCTCTCTTTATGAATGGGCCATTGAATCATTGGTTCACCCAATTGATTCGGTTAAAATGCGGATTCATTCAGAAACTAAACACCGCTATGTGTGGCTCGGAGATGCACAACAGTTCTGCTGTGGCTTTACAGGAAATATTCTTGTTGGCAAAATTGAGACAATAACAAAACAGAAGCTACTGTGTCTAAAATATAACACAATATTAATTTCTTATTTTATTAAATGTTCTATAAAATTATATCACATTTGCACTCATGCTAATCGGCATTTTCCATGCTATTTGGCACATATCACATTTGCACTGAGGCATTTGCCCTGATATCTTGACTTTTAGGGGCTTTCTAACTAACTGCGTTCTAGGCTCTATCACTCAGTGAATTGTTGCCCTGCATCATGTTTCGTCACTAATAAACTGTATAAAATGTAAGATGACCTACGTAGGTCTGGGGCGGGGCTGGTGCGTTAAATGAGACTGCATAAATGCAGTCGCAGTCGCATTTTTGAGACTGTCTTTGGTTCACTGCAATTTTAGAAATACTCAGCAATTGTGTTGACTGTACATGGGTTGTCGTAAAGCACATTAAAAACACCACATAGACAGCCCTAAAAATAATATATCTTATGGTCTAATGGGATCGATATTCTATTTTAGCATAAGCAGAAAACGCAAATATAATTGAAGACGCTCAATATGGATTGTGCATAGCAGTACCATTAATTTGAAATGTCTGAAAGAATCCAACTGCAACACCATTAGCCAATGTGTCTTTACTTTAACTGCGGAATCTGGATGATTTTCACTTTAGTATGTAAACCAGGGCCAGTATTTTGATATTGTGGCCTTAGAGGAAACCTATTGTAGTTGAGCTGGGTTTCCAGGCTCACAGTCAGTAGTGGTGGCTTGGTTTGGCTGTAATTTGTTGCACTTTTCCTACATAGGGTGAGCCAGGACTTCCAGGGCTGCCTGGACTCCCCGGGATTAAGGTAAATGTTGTGTCTTCATGCCTAAAACCCCTCCCCCATATCCAGCAGTTTGTCAACCAATGAATGTCTCTGTAACAGTTGTTGAAGTGCAACTGTATTGTTTCCATATATCTTTCACAATAACCTGTATGGCTTCAATTAGTTAATGCTTTTGAATGGAGTGTGTTTTACATTGGCTTATTCAAATGCACATTATCAGGATTCATTGATTATGGATTCATCCATTGATGATTCATACGTGAATCAGACAATTACTTGACCCAGTTTATCTTTGCATTCATGTAAAGACTCGTCTCGGAGTAAGATTTAACACTACAGAAATTAGATGTCTGACTTATTTCATTGCTATTGTTATGCTTCAGCCTTTATTTTCACAAAAAAAATATTGGTGTCACTGGCTTGTATTATATTTCAAATAGTCTCCACAACAATCAAACAAACCCCCTGAGAGTGTGTCGAATCATACACACTTTACCAGAGTCACTTAAAGTCATTCAACCACTTGGTGTTTTGTAATGGAACTTTCTTTTTTGCCTTCTGAGCTGAAAATTAAAAGCTGATTGCAGATGTTCATGTTCCAAATTGGAATAAAATATTTTTGAAAATAATGAGAAAATGAGTGGGAAATCACTGGAGTGATGGATTTCTCCATAGTTCCATAGTTTGTAATGCAAAGAATGCTCAAACTGGCATGAGCTAATGATTGTTGCTGTTTTGGTTTGTTTGCCTGTATTCTTTTGTATGCCTGCAGCCTATTGGCCTTGTAAAAATCCCACCCATTTTATGTAACCCTGGTTTTACTTAGAGTCTGAAGGCTGTGGATGCTAACATTGTGCTAATGTGGTGCTCTAATGTTTTTTGAGACACTTACATGTGCACACTGTGTTTATTCATTGAATAAGAGAGGATAGAATGTTTGATTAAATGGCACTGCAAATATCACGTTAAGGTGTTTATTATTATATTAGCAACATTCATTTTCTCGTGTAGTACCATGAACTAACACATAATTTATTTTAAATAAGAATTATAGGTAACGCTTTTACAGTACAGTACTTACGTGTACTTACAGTGTACTTACCTAGAAAGTATAATATAAGGTAAGTACATGGGTTAGGGGTAGGTTTAGGGGTAGGTTCAGGGTTAGTACCTAGTTATTACCCAGTAATTATAATTACTATAATAAGTACATAGTAAGTACATGGGTAACAGGACTGTTAGTTGCCATAATAGCTATATCATTAAGGTGAGCTAATCTTTTATGATGAAAGCAGGTTTTAATTAGAATCTAGACAATTATCAACTCAAATCAGTCCAAAAAAATAGACAGTTGGCTTGATACTGTATGACATGAATGCTTTGGGAGGTTGTTTGTCTAAAATGCTTCGCTTTTTTGATTTAGAGTTTAAGTTGATTTAGTTGTGAATACTTAACTTGAGTCCTATAACTGAAAGATAATTCCATGTGTGGCTTCTGTATGCAGGGTGAACCTGGTTTCTTTGGGCCTCAAGGTGAGCCTGGGCTTCCAGGTCTTCCAGGAACTAAGGTGGGTTTGTAACACCACCAGTTGTGGTATATCCCAGTTTAATGTGGTGGTCGTGGTTTGTGGTTTCATTAAGATATATCCATGATAGCTCTGTTAAGGACTATAAATTAACAAACAACAAATGACTACAAAAGTTTGTTCAATCTGTATGGGATCACTACTCTGCAAACTCTTATTGAGAGAAGAATTTAATTTAAACTATTATTACCAGATTTTTCGGATTAGTTAGATTATTAAGCCAATGTACATATTAAGTTAGTGTTTGATTAAAGGTGTGGTTTATGTAAAAGGCAGTGCAGAGAGTGAGGCATCTATGAAGAGACTCCAGTCAGTGCCTGTCAAGATACAGCATGTGCTGTCATACTGCCCTCTACAGGACATTTCAAAGAAATCAGTATAAATGAAGGAAAGAGTAAAGAGTAAAGTCTATTTCAGTGGTTCTCAAACTCTTTGACTCCATTGCCCTGCTTTGTCCAAGCCAATATTCGAAGCTGACATGAACTTCTGGTATTTCTATTTTAATAAGAATAAACAAACTCATACTCGTAAATACTGTTACTGTTGTACATCTTTATCATTTTTGTTTTTTTGGTGTTATTTAAGATTGTTAATATAGCAAAATGTAAATAATGTTAAGACTTACTGGGGGGCCCCTGGAAGTTTGCAGAGGCCCCTGGTGGGCCTTGGCCCCCTGGTTGAGAACCAGCATGTGCAAATTCTACTTGTTCTGTAAAATTATACTATCTACGTGTCTACCTTGTAAGCTGGAGTTTAGCTGGTCATCTCTAAAAACCAGCAGAGCAGACCATCTTATTCAGACTGAGAGATTAGTTTGAGCATCTTAGGCTTTTTTATGATAGGATAGGCTGTGATAAAGAATATCACTTTTTGTAGGGAGAGAGAGGAGAACCTGGACCTTCTGGCAAGGGTGAACGTGGTGAGACAGGTCCCGTAGGACACAAGGTAAGATGAGCAGTAAATATGTGCTTTTGAAGTGGTCATCTAATGATGGGAAAACCCATTCATGTAGAATAAATTCCCCTGTAATTCCCCTGTATGGGCCCATTGTCAAACATGACCACAGAGGTTCCTCCGACTTTAATTGTGTGTTTACTTTAGTCAAAACATTAACATCTCTAGATTGCCTTAGATATGTGAAATTATTATCCTGCCAAATTTCCTCAGGAAACTATTTATTTTGATTGAGATTTAGACAAGGGTTAATTTTCTCTGTCTGTGATCTTTCCACAAACAACAGTACAGGAACTAACTGAGTTTCTGCTGTTGTGTGTGTGTGTGTGTGTGTGTGTGTGTGTGTGTGTGTGTGTGTGTGTGTGTGTGTGTGTGTGTGTGTGTGTGTGTGTGTGTGTGTGTGTGTGTGTGTGTGTGTGTGTGTGTGTGTGTGTGTGTGTGTGTGTGTGTGTGTGTGTGTGTGTGTGTGTGTGTGTGTGTGTGTGTGTGTGTGTGTGTGCGCGTGCGTGTGTGTGTGCGCGTGCGTGTGTGTGTGCGCGCGTGTGTGTGTGTGTGTCAGTAAATCAAGGCAAGACACGTTAAACATAAGGAATCCCCACTACATATCAGATAAATGCCATTAATTTACAGGAAGTCAGCAGTTCCAGAGCTCAAATATCAATATCTTATTGGTACCTAAGGCTGGAAATGTTATATGGTGTAAACCACATTACCACCTGTGTAATTCTCTAGGGGCGCTTTGAAAAAGGGAACAGACATTTTGCCCTGCTTTGTCCAAGCCAATATTCGAAGCTGACATGAACTTCTGGTATTTCAAATTTGTTTTAGCACCTGCATTTAATCTTGTTATTACTCTTCCAGTACCATGAACAATGATTAACCTGACCACAGTCAGATCCGTAGATATTTTATCAGATTGCTTCCGAAAATGTTGTTAAATGATAAATCTTTAAATGTCTTTAAATAATTATAAGGGAGAACAGGGGGAACCAGGAGCATCAGGCCTGAAAGGTTCAAAGGTCAGTCTCATTTCCTCAGTAAGCCATGCATAAGAAAGTTAAAAACACTTCAAATTTGAAGCTAAAATCTTCAAGGAAACAAGGAACATGTGTTACATGTTACTATAAGAAATAAAAAATATTCTACTGTCTTAAATGACTAAATATAATCTCTGTCCGTATTTTACAATTACAGGGGGATGCAGGAGACAAAGGTGGTGAAGGCCCAACAGGATCACAAGTGAGTAAAGTCTACAAATGTCTAAAAGTGACTTTTTGACAACTCTGACTAGCAAATGTAACACTGACCTATAAATTAGCTTTATCAGTTGATTTCTGTGGAGTGTAAACTTCATCATTATCTTTCAGAGTGTAAAATACAGAAGAGTATACAGAATTGAATGTTTCCTCCCAAATATGAACTTGTCATGCTGACGTAATTGGGTTGAGGTTGCTCTTGACTGAATGAAACCAGAAAGGGCAGGATTTATTGATTATTCACAAATCCAGGGCATTATGCAATGAAACAAGTTAGTAAATAAGCCAAAGTCAGTAAATAAGTGACTGTGCAATGAAAAATAACTGTGATGAAGTTCCTGAAGTAAAGTTCTCACATGAAAGGACTGTAAAGCTGTTAAAGGAATTAATATTTTGTGATGGTGTGAAGTTATTATTTGAAATGTTGGTAACACTTTACAATAAGGTTCATTAGTTAACATTAGTTAACTACATTAGTTAGCATGAACTGCACTTATACAGCATTTATTAATCTTTGTTAATGTTAATTTCAACAATTTTCTAATACTTTATTAAAATCTTGTTAACATTAGTTAATGCACTGCGAACTAACATGAACAAACAATGAACAGATTAATTTGTATTAACTGACATTAACAAAGATGAACAAATACATGAACACATGTATTTATAGTTCATGATAGTTAATATATATTAAATAATGTTAACTAATGAACCTTATTGTAAAGTGTTACCGAAATGTTCACTATTTCAAGCAAATTATGTGATTAAGCACATTGGTTTGCTTTGATCTAGTCTCGGTTTCTATGATTATGAGGTACAGGAAGCTTCAAAATGAGAATATTGTCGCAAGACAATTATTGTCTCAAGTCACTCTTTTTATCAGTAAAAACAGTTCTGGCATTTACATTTCCCCACTCAATGAAAATATAATTGTTATTCAGGGGCTACCTGGGGAGAAAGGTGAACAGGGTACAACTGAAATCATAGACTACAATGGAAACATTCAAGAGGCTCTTCAGGTTAGTGGAATCATGTCTATGATCTTTCATTGGAAATCATATTTCGAACCTGTTTTAAACTGCGTAAATTAGGACAGCTACTTTCACAACACAAACCAAAGTGCCCAATTCATATTTTCTGCTCAAGTAACTGATAACAATTATGACATAAAATAAGGATTTACATAAAATTGCATGAAATTCTGTCTGACTGTTCACACTGAATTGACTTCACAATAATTTAGATAAACACCCAAAAATGCGTAATGGATAAACATCTGTATCAGTGGTATTGGTACTTGTAAAATAATTGGCACAGACAGAAAATATGACACACAGGTTGGTCTTGTACATAACTGTAATCTTATCTTTTACCTTCCCTTCTTCCTGACTGCCTACAGAAGATAACTACTATTACAGTTACGGTAATTCACCTCTGCTTTGTCTGTGTGTTATGAGTGCTGTATTTTGCTCAACATGAATTCAACACTTCCATGCATACATGTTTCTCCCCTAATTCTGCCGATTCTCTTACCAGTGCCTTTTTGACAGAATATTGTGTGTTGCTGTGTCAATGTTCGTTAACACTTGTTTTATCTGATTTGAGATAAAGACTTATCTCCTATGTAACAAGGATCAAAGTAAGTGTGAATGTGGTTCAGGCCCTTTCTCAGCTATATGTATTCAGAGTGCTCTGATTGGACCAGTCCAATATAACCTATGCGTGTTAACACAGGAAGTGAGAAATGACACATTGTCTCCCACATTCTCACGTGTCATGTTTCACATGTAACAAAAAAAGTGTAATAAATGTGTCCCTTGTGCTCTAAGTGTATTTTCTTTTTAATTATGTGCATCTACACAAAAAAAATATTTTGGGGAATTGCTAATTGAATTTTTCTTATTTTCTTATTTTGTGTGTGTGTGTGTGTGTGTGTGTGTGTGTGTGTGTGTGTGTGTGTGTGTGTGTGTGTGTGTGTGTGTGTGTGTGTGTGTGTGTGTGTGTGTGTGTGTGTGTGTGTGTGTGTGTGTGTGTGTGTGTGTGTGTGTGTGTGTGTGTGTGTGTGTGTGTGTGTGTGTGTGTGTGTGTGTGTGTGTGTGTGTGTGTGTGTGTGTGTGTGTGTGTGTGTGTGTGTGTGTGTGTGTGTGGTTTAGGGTCCCCCTGGACCTCCTGGGCCAGTTGGACCAAAGGGAATGAAGGTAACCACATAATTTATTAACAAAGTGGACATTATGGGCTGTTAAATGAGGGTCTTACGTAAGAGTCTAGCATTTATGTGCTTGTGACTACAACCTTTTGAAGACAAAGATCACAATGTGACTGCAGTTCATTTCAGTGAAATATTATTGCTTTTCACAGGGTGATCAGGGTGTTACTGGACTTCCTGGACTAGATGGAGAAAGGGTAAGAGGAACAAAATGTTCTTACTGTGTATAGCTTTTATTGTCTGTCAACTGACCCATATCTAAGCACAATTTCACAATATTTTTTATATAATAATTCATCACAATTAATATAATCTACACATGTTGTTAGGGTCACAAAGGTTCTAAAGGTGATATGGGTATCCCTGGAATATCCGGAGAAAAGGGATCAATGGGTCTTCCTGGCTTACAGGTAAAATGATCTGAGCGTGAGATATGTTGATACTTGTGATATTAATCATAACGTAAAATGTATGATCTTGCATAGGCCTAATGGCTTGTCACATTATTTAAGTAGGTTAAGTCATGGCTCCGTAATGTTGCCCGCAGGGTGTGAATGGTCTGAAAGGAGACAAAGGAGATGCTGGCCTGCCTGGACCTCAGGGACCCTCAGTAAGTACAGCCAAAATAGTGTCCAACCAAAATGTGAATTAAGTATACATGCGTAGTCTTCTGTCTAACTCACAGTCAGTGACAGCTGTAGACAACTGGGACTAGTCTTTATCAGAGTGATAGTTTGCATGGTGTCAGTGCATGTACTGAGAGTAAATGTTTTATCATCAATTTACATGTATGATGTCAAATCACTTTACCTTAAATTGGGCCTTACTGTTGTAGTGTAACTGAGGGTCATATTATTTAAACAGCTTCTCCATCTTTGTGCCCTGTTGTCCCTCATGTCTTCGGAGTATATTTCACTTATGGAATTTTTTATCTTGCTCGCATTAACAGATTATTGGTCCCCCTGGAGCACCTGGTCCACATGGACCACCTGGACCCATGGTGAGTTAAAGATGCTTTGCACAACAGAAATGGTATAAAATGGTAATCATTTTAAGATAATCTATTCTTAGCCAACTGGCATTTTTTTATGCCAAAATTTAGTGAAATTTAAGCTTGAAGCAACAACAATTTGCCAGTCGTAATATATTTACATTTATTAGGTTTAACTTCATCTTGTTTTAAGGAAAGTTTAGATTTATTTATTTATTTTAGCTATGGATATATCCAAATAGCCTATAATCATCACAAAAAGGACTCTTTGCCCCTGTTCTCTATACATTCAAACAGTTATGAAAGTCTGCAATTTATTGTCATGCTATTCCAGACCATTCTCTGAGAGACCTGAGAGAACATGTGGCCTTAAAACCTTCAAACTTAGTGCTTTTAAAACTTAAAACTGCTTCAAATTATAAGGAGTGAGTGAGTGAGTGAGTGAGTGCGTGCGTGCGTGCGAGCGTGCGTGCGTGCGAGCAAGAGAGTTATTAATGCTGTGTTGTGTTGCAGGGTCCTCATGGATTCCCTGGCCCAAAGGTACGTCATTACTGGGTGGAGCATATCTGCGCTATAGCTGATATAAGTGCCATGGCCATGCCTGGCTCTTAACTTAGTTGCTAATTAATTAATTTCAAGTTAATGCCTTTCTGAATAACCACATTTGGTGTTTTAAGGCATGCTGCATACTTGGCATTAATTGTTCATAGAGCAAATCGCCTTCTGTCAAACATGAAAGTAATTACTTGCTCAGTGTTAGTTTGGACATACAGAATCCTTTGAGACTTGCAGCAGTTCTTCTCATCACTTTGACCTTAACTCCCACTGTGTTTTTAGTCACTGTAGTCATCCAAGTCTTTGTAGACTATCAGGTGCAAATTCAGGAGGATTTCAATCTGTGATATTTGTCCAGAAATCAAAAGACAAGATGCTTCTGAGTAAATGTTACCGAGCATTCCCTAAACTGTTGTCTGTACTCCTATTTAGGGGGAACCAGGTTTGCTTGGTCTCAAGGGACTGCGAGGGGAGACTGGGTATAAGGGTGACAGAGGACCCCTGGGTCTCCCTGTAAGTACACTACAGCCGTGCATCCTATGATCTTAGTGCTTTATCCCCACTTATTTTGACTCAACATCTTCTAACCTTTACCACATTCCCCACTGTCCATTTGTTTGCTGTTATAAATTTATGTTTTCGTTGTTGTGACTTGTGCAGACAACCAAGCCTCATTTGCTGCCCCTTAAACTTTGTGTGTTGGTTAAACGTCTATTTGTTTATCTTTGTTAACAGCTGTTAAGTTTGTTTTTTTGTCCAGTTCACTCATCACATACTAATTGCACTTTTCAAACCTCCATTCATACTTCCATAAATGCACAGGGAGCATCTGGCTTGGATGGCAAGCTGGGACCCAGGGTGAGTCTCAAGCCATGTTTCACCAACCCCCCTATCCCCCTCCCCCCAAAGCCTCCCTACATCTTAAAAAAATACCAAAATGGGTCATGTGACACATTTATGGTGAACGGGGAATGTGGTTAGACTCATTATTGGTAATGTTTCATCAATGTTCAGCTCTATGTGCCAGTGAAAGATTAAACAACAAGAGTTACTCTGCTTTTCTGCTGACAAGTTTGACATTAACACTGATTTAACACTCACTCATCCATTAACATTCTATTTATTATTTATGTTCATCCGTGTATTTATTTGGGGATTTGCATGATTAATTGCTAAAGACATGCAAGTTTTGGTAACGCTTTACATAACAGCCCGGAAAGTACTGCGTAATTAAGACGAATTTACAGCATAACTTTCTTTAATTATATTGTACCTATAAAGTACTTACATGTAAGTATAAGGGAACAATATGTAACGGTTTGGGAATAAAGGGGTAACAACCAGGAGAATTAACAAATTATTAATACTGCAAGTATTTTAGAACTAAGGGGTACTTTTTCTACTATTATGATACAATAATCTAACATTTGGGAGCAATTTAGCGAGAACGAACCTTTTTGTAATAATAGTATACCAATACATACCGTATAGGCTTTTTTTTTTTTTTAATTACAGGGTTCATATCTGTGCATTTATACAGTAATTCATTTATTTATTTTTTGATTGCAAAAGTGCAGATGTTTTAGTTTGTGCTTACATGTTTCAAGGCAAGTAAAAAATAAAACTATTGCGATTTTTTTTTAAAAACTGGAGAAATATACTCTTGTTTCATATAGTTACAGGGTAAGTTTGACATTGCAAAACAAAAGTATATTTCCCCAGTATTTAAGCAAAAGTTGCAATAGTTTTAGTTCCCTTTCGTTGTCACTCCGAGTTCCGTCGGATGACGACGAATGGGGGTTTCGCTTAGAAAGCCTATCGACTTCGAGTATACAAAACGAGCCAATGGCAAACAAATGCCATGGGTCTGCGGAATTTGCATGGCGCAACTCCGCCCCACCTCGTGGGGATAAAAGGCGAAAGCCGGCAATATGCAGATATGTTTTTGCTTCGGAGCCAAGATGTTCTCTTCACTCCTGCAGTCTATTCTCTGACTATCTTCGAGAATCTTCAAGACGAGCAGCTTCCAGTCGGTGTTGGTGTGATGGCGTGTTCCAGCGAGTTTCACATTCCTGCCTGCTGATCTGAACAGCTGTGTGCTTCTCCCTGGGCGCTTCAGCACTGCTGCAAGCTTTTCTCACACAAAAAGAGCGTGCACGCGGCTTGCTTTTTAAAGACGATCTGCCCGTGCATTTCTGAGTGCGGTAGTCTGATAGATTCAGCTGATGGGCACGAGCACTGTTTTGACGTGTTTGGGCTTCAGTCACGTTCGAACAGCGCTCGCGGATGCGTCACGTTCTCTAAAGGGAACATGACCATCGCAATGTAACGGTCAAGACTCAATGAGCTCAACTGAGTGAGAGTCCCCTCATCCACACCCCGATCTATTTTCTCCACGTGAGAGAATACTTTGGCTGGTGGCCAGGGTGACCTGAGATGGCCGGTGTGGAACTAAACCGCCGATTAATATCCGTGGTCCACACCCCTCTCTTTAACATTGCAACCCGCGCGGTTCTGAATGAGTTAGCTGGTCAGAGCCGCGTCCAGAGGACGCCGGCGGGCCGGCATCTCATTCGGTTCCCCGGCTGATGAAATCATGTCTATCGCCGCGTCACAAGGTGAGCTGGAGTCCTTTGGAAGTGAGGGCTCGTCTATGTTGCCACTCTCGGGTGTGCAACATAGCGAGTCTGATCCAGAGTTGACAGCTATGCTTCCCGGGCCGCCGCGAGTATCGGGCATGTGTGGATTACTCTGCCATGTCTCGAGCACTCAAGGCTGATGATTGGTTTTGGGGAGGCGAACCCAAAATCCTTTCTACCCGGATGTGCATGAAAAGGTTATGAGATCGTGAGAGTCTCCTTTGACTTTCGCGACTGCTCAGCAGCCTCTTCCACCTTCTCTGCCCTCGAGAGGCCGCGGCCATGGGTACACTGGGGTTCCCCCCGTGGAGTGTTCTGTGGCAGCACGTCTGTGCCCCCACAGCGCCTCCACCTGGCGTGGCGACCCTAAGCACCCCTCCAATGCCTGTAGGTTTTTTGTCTACTCCGGTGGCAAAGACCTATAGAGCAGCGGACAGGCTGCCGTCTCACTGCATGTTATTGCCATCCTACGGGGTGCTCAATGACATGCACGAGGGTAGGGCTGATTCAGGGCTCATCTAAGAGACTGCCTGCCGCCACCGACCTCGCTCTACGAGTGACGAAGGTGACCGCACGCTCCCTGGGTCAGGTGATGTCCACTTGTGTGGTCAGACATTTCTGGGTTAACCTGGTTGATATGCGCGAGGCTGAGCGAACCCGCTTCCTCAACTCCCCCATATCCCAGGCTGGCCCTTCGGCGGCGCGGCCGAGGACTCTGCCTAACAGTTCTCGGCCGCCCAGAAGCAGACTGAGGCTACTAAACACGTTCTGACCCCGCGGCCAGCTGCTGCCGCCGGCTCAGACGCCTCAGTCAGCTTGCCGCCGAACGCGCCCTCCTGCGACTTTCGCCCCCTCCCGCCCGGCCCCAGCAGCTCCGGGCCGCGCCGTGGAGGTGGTCGCAGGAAAGCGCCCCAGCCCGTACCAGCCCCGCAGCCTGCCAAATGCCGGGCAAAGCGGCGCTCCCGTTACGGGCAGCTCAGAGATGGGTTGCAGTTCTCCAGGAGGTGGTTGCAGGGCCACTCCTTTCCCCGGTGGAGGGCCGGGGGAGAACCTCTTTTTCCAGAGAGCTGACTTCCCATCTCTAAGCACACAGAGTTCTCGGACGACACGGTGCGCCGCCCCCGGGCCGTGCACCCCTCGTCCTCCTCTGTCCCAGAGCCGGATGACAGTGCGCGCCGTCCCCGGACCGTGCCGCTCTCATCCTCCTCTGTCGCCAGACCCCTGGCAGAGTAGACCCCCGTGGAACGTTCGTCCTTCCCTGGTCTCCTCTGTCAGGACGCGGTCTATGACTGTACCCCCACACCAGGCCGCTATGCCGTCCACGTCTGGGTCAGCCATACCGCCTCGCTGCTCCACCGACGGGAAGTCTGTGGTTCGCGTGACCCCGCTGGTACAGTCCTTGGGAGCCTGGCTAGAGCTTCCCAACCTGTCCCGCTGGGTCGCACGATCGATCAGGCTCGGCTACGCGATTCAGTTCGCGCGGTCTCCTCCCCGCTTCAGGGGAGTCCGCTCCACTATGGTCGGTGGCAATGCCCCTATCATGAGAGCGGAGGTTGCTACCCTGCTGGCGAAGGGTGCGATCGAAACTGTCCCTCCAGCCGAAATGAGGACCGGCTTCTACAGCCCGTACTTCATTGTCCCGAAGAAAACCGGTGGGTTACGGCCAATCCTGGACCTGCGCGTTCTGAACCGCTCCCTTTACAGGCTGCCGTTCAAGATGCTCACCGCCAAACGCGTTGTCGAATGTGTGCGGCACCAGGATTGGTTTGCAGCGATCGACCTGAAGGACGCCTACTTTCATGTCTCCATCCTCCCTCGACACAGACCGTTCCTGCGGTTTGCTTTCGAGGGGCAGGCATATCAGTACGCGGTTCTCCCATTCGGGCTAGCCCTGTCTCCTCGCGTCTTCACGAAGGTAGTCGAGGCAGCCCTTGTTCCCCTCCGGGAACACGGGGTTCGCATTCTGAATTACCTCGACGACTGGCTATTCTAGCTCACTCTCGAGATCAGCTTTGCGAACACAGGGACTTGGTGCTCCGCCATGTAGCCCGTCTGGGCCTTCGGGTCAACTGGGAGAAGAGCAAACTTTGCCCCTGCAGAGGATCTCTTTTCTCGGTATGGAGATTGACTCGGTCGCCATGTCCGCGCAGCTTACGAGTGAGCGCCCGCAGTCACTGCTGACTTGCCTGAAACAGTTCGAGGGCAAGAGTGCGGTTCCACTGAAACTTTTTCAGAGGCTCCTGGGGCATATGGCATCTGTAGCCGCGGCAACGCCGCTCGGATTGCTTCATATGAGACCGCTTCAGCTCTGGCTTCGCGACCGAGTCCCGAGGTGGGCATGGCAACACGGCACCCTCCGAGTACCAGTTACTCCGACCTGCCGTCAGACCTTCACCCCGTGGTCGAACCTCAGTTTTCTACGGGCCGGAGTGCCCCTGGAACGAGCTTCCCGGCATATTGTTGTAACGACAGATGCCTCTACCACGGGCTGGGGTGCCATGTGCAATGGACGTGCTGCCGCGGGCTCCTGGACAGGACCCCACCGCCTATGGCACGTCAATTGCTTCGAGTTGCTGGCTGTACCGCTCGCCCTGCGCCGCTTCCGAGCCGTGCTCAGGGACCAGCATGTACTAGTCCGTTCAGACAATACCGCGACCGTAGCGTACATCATCCGTCAAGGTGGTCTGCGCTCCCGCCGTATGTCGCAACTCGCCCGCCACCTCCTCTTATGGAGTCAGAAGCATCTGAGGTCGCTTCGTGCCATTTATATCCCGGAGCCCTGAACTGGGCAGCCGACGAGACGGCTTCAGCCCCTCCCGGGAGATTGGCGACTCCATCCCCAGTCGGTTCAGCTGATTTGGGACCAGTTCGGGGACGCACAGATAGATCTGTTTGCCTCTCACGACTCGACCCATTGCGCCCTGTATTATTCCCTGACCGAGGGCACGCTCGGCACGGATGCACTGGCGCACAGCTGGCCGCAGGGCCGCAAATATGCGTTACCCCCAGTGAGCCTTCTTGCGCAATTCCTGCGCAAAGGTCAGGGAGGACGAGGAGCAGGTCACCTTGGTAGCGCCGTACTGGCCCACCCGGACCTGGTTCTCCGAACTTGTACTCCTCGCGACAGCACCTCCTTGGCCCATACCTCTGAGGAAGGACCTACTTTCTCAGGGACGGGGCACCCTATGGCACCCTCGTCCCGATCTTTGGAACCTCCATGTGTGGCTCCTGGACGGGACGAGGCAGGTTTGAGTACCCTACCACCAGCAGTGGTGGCTACCATCACTTCCGCTAGAGCGTCGTCCACGAGACACGTCTACGCGTTGAAGTGGAACCTCTTCGTCAACTGGTGCTCTTCTCACCGAGAAGACCCCCGGAGATGTTCGATCAACGTCGTGCTTTCCTTCCTTCAAGAGGGGTTGGAGCGAAGGCTGTCTCCCTCCACCCTCAAGGTCTATGTCGCCGCTATTGCCGCACAGCATGATCTTATAGAAGGTAAGTCGGTGGGGAAGCATGACCTGATCGTCAGGTTCCTGAGAGGAGCGAGGAGACTGAATCCTCCTCGCCCTCCTCTCGTACCCTCTTGGGACCTCGCAGTGGTCTTAACCGCCCTGCGTAGTGCTCCCTTTGAGCCTTTACAGTCAGTCGAGCTTAACTTCCTGTCAATGAAGACGGCGCTTCTGACTGCATTGGCCTCCATCAAGAGGGTAGGGGACCTGCACGCATTCTCCGTTGACGAAGCGTGCCTGGAATTCGGGCCGGCGTACTCTCACGTGATCCTGAGACCCCGGCCTGGATATGTGCCCAAGGTTCCTACCACTCCCTTCCGGGACCAGGTGGTGAACCTGCAAGCGCTGCCCCCGGAGGAGGCAGACCCAGCCTTGGCACTGCTCTGTCCAGTACGTGCTCTTCGCATCTATGTAGACAGAACGCAGTGTTTCAGGACCTCAGACCAGCTCTTTGTCTGTTATGGTGGGAAGCTGAAGGGAAAGGCTCTCTCTCCAAGCAAAGGTTGTCTCACTGGATAGTGGACGCCATTGCTTTGGCATACCAGCAGCAAGGTCGACCGTGCCCCCTTGGTGTGACTGCCCACTCCACCCGGAGTGTGGCATCCTCTTGGGCTCTAGCGCATGGCGCCTCGCTAACAGACATCTGCAGAGCTGCAGGCTGGGCGACACCTAACACATTCGCCAGATTCTACAATCTCCGAGTGGAGCCTGTGTCCTCTCATGTACTCGCTTCAACCAGCTAGTACCGGACCCGCTCAGGTGTCTTCGCTTGCTCGCCATTCCACTCTACGGACTGGATACGTGCGATATTCTCCTCAGGTGAGCTTCTCCGAAAGCCCTGAGTTCCTCCAGCACTCCTGACGTCGGCGCCAGTGTCTCTTGCCTGCGCGTCGGCTAGGTGCCTCCCGTGTGCATGGTACCTCCCGGAGCTACCCCCACATGTGTATTCCCACTGTAAGCCTCTCTGAGCATGTGTCTTTCCCTTGGCAAGCCACCTTGCCACCCCTGGGGTTGAAATATTCCACCTGCGGCTGGATACCCCAGTGATTCCCCATATGCATCCCTCGGGTCATATGTGTATTTCTAAGTCCCCCCCTCTGGGTTGGCAGTAATTGCATACTTCCCTAAGACCTGGGATATGCTCCCCAGTGTACCTTGGTATTCCTGTGTTAAATAGGAGTCCTTCGTCCGTGCTAGGCTCACGACAGGGATCTCAGATTTACGCAGGGCACTGGAAGACAGCTGGGAAGGTGGCGTGATTAGACTGGTATCCCCATTCGTCGTCATCCGACGGAACTCGGAGTGACAACGAAAGGGAACGTCTCGGTTACGGATGTAACCCTCGTTCCCTGAGTAGGGAACGGAGACGTTCCGTCTGCCTGCCACTTCCGCTGTACCGCTGGAACAGCCGAGTTCAGTCTTGGCTCCTCAGCGAAGAAACATATCTGCATATTGCCGGCTTTCTCCTTTTATCCCCACGAGGTGGGGCGGAGTTGCGCCATGCAAATTCCGCAGACCCATGGCATTTGTTTGCCATTGGCTCGTTTTGTATACTCGAAGTCAAGTCAAGTCAAGTCAAGTCACATTTATTTATATAGCGCTTTTCACAATACAGATTGCATCAAAGCAGCTTCACAGTGATAACATGAAAGTAGTACAACACAGTTCAATAATATTGTTGAATATTAAATATCCCCAACTAAGCAAGCCAAAAGCAAGGCGACAGTGGCAAGGAACCAAAACTCCATCAGATTGGATGGAGAAAAAAACCTTGGGAGAACCCAGGCTAGTCAGGGGCCAGTTCTCCTCTGGCTAACAATCATAGGGTTTTAAAGAAGCTTTACAGTAAGTCCATATCAGAGAGTACCTGGAAAAAATACAGTCGATAGGCGATAGGCTTTCTAAGCGAAAGTCGATAGGCTTTCTAAGCGAAACCCCCATTCGTCGTCATCCGACGGAACGTCTCCGTTCCCTACTCAGGGAACGAGGGTTACATCCGTAACCGAGACGTTTTCAGTGCACTTTTGTAAAAAAAAAATACTGTATAAATGCATAGATATGTACCCTGTAATTTAAAAAAAAAAAACTATATGTATTAATACACTATTATTACAAAAAGGTATGCAGTGTATGTTCTCGCTAAACTGCTCTCAAATGTAAGATTGTTGTATCATAATAGTAGAATAAGTACCACTTAGTTCTAAAATACTTAGAGTATAAATAATTTGTTAATTCTCCTGGTTGTTACCCCTTTATTCCCAAAACTTTACATATTGTTCCCTAATACTTACATGTAAGTACTTTATAGGTACACTATAATTACCGAAAGTTACACTGTAAATTTGTTTTAATTACGCAGTACTTTGCAGGCTGTTATCTAAAGCGTTACCCAAGTTTTTTTATAAAACCAGATTCAAAACCTCATACACTTTCTTATTTATAGGGTATGGATGGACCAATCGGGGCTCCTGGTCCAGCAGGTCCGAAGGGAGATGGAGTAAGTTATTTTATTTTGTTTTATTAAGGTTTTTATGTTTGTTGCTGTTTTTGTTGATGTCTTAGCTGGATAATTGTGTGCAATTACAAAAATAAGGATAGAAACTATGTATGAATACTATACAACATATTGTTTATATAAAAGGTGTTGTTCAATGTCACAGGGTGAGAAGGGTGATGTTGGTGATCCTGGAGCCAGAGGGCCATATGGGTTACCTGTAAGTACTCAAAGAATTTTTAATGTTTAATTAAAAAAACATTGATAATTATTTGGCAATTCAATAATGATCACATTATTCACTATTCTTGTTCCAGAGAATATTATTCATTTTTTGTTTCTTTTTCTTCCTTGTTTTTTTGAAGGGAGCTGCTGGAACACCTGGAGTGGATGTGAGTTATCGATCTTAATGTTCTGCTTGTGTGTTGACTCTTGTCGTTTGTTTTCTGGGTCACTTCCTGCAACTGTTGTGCCCTCTAGTAGCTCTAAACAAATTCAGTGAAGTTCTTTACCCCTGAACCGATGAGCCTCCAAGCATTTGTAATTACTTGAAGTTGTATTTTTGCAGGGGTTACCAGGCTTAAAGGGAGACAAGGGCGATGTGGGGGAAAGAGGAGAAAAGGTGATTGTGACATAGATGTTCTGAAACAGAGAATGAACCTTTCGCTCTCTTATTGATTAGATCTGATGTCAATGGACATTTACAAAGTAGCTCAGGCAAAGAGGCCTTCATATAGACATAATGTGGGCCATGGAGTTGCAGATCAGTGTTAAGATCTTAGATTTAATTTTCTGGTACAAAAGGAACATAGCAATATTTATAGATGCAGGAAAAAGTATATGAACTCTTTGACTTTCTGCATAAATTATCATTAATTACATAATTGAATCTGATCTTCAGCTAAGCCAAAACAAAAGACAAACATACATGTAAAAAAAAAAAGAAATTACATTTAAGGGTGCACACACTTTTCCCTCCCTACAAGAATGTTTACTTTCCCTTCCTACGTGAATGTTTATTTGGGGTGTGTAACGGTACACGCATTTGTAACGAAAATATTTGTTACAAGTCTTTCGGTTCGGTATGCATGTTTACAGATAGAATACAGTGTTGTTTTAACCACACCATGTGCGGAACGTAATTTCAAACCCCTAGGATGGGGCAATATAATTTATATCAATATCTGAAAAATAACGAAGGACAGAGTGAGCTGCTTCCGGATGGTCCATGTACCTTCGGTTAAATTGTTTTCTCGTTTTTGTCTTTAAAATGAAAAAATTATAATAATAATAATTAATTTATGACATAATCGCCCTTTCTCATGAATATAAACTAATCTCATGTTGTTTTTTCACACTTTGTTCTAATTCGCCAAATAGAAACACAATAAAACCAAAATGGATAAACAGCTAGAATATTCTATCCCTACATGGGAGCAGGAATGAAACAGGCCTTTCCACTGATTGGTCAACCAAACATCAAAACATGCCGTTTTCCTCAGTTTTGCGCAACAGAAGAATAGTCTTCCGCTGCTACAGTTGTATGGATTATTAAAGCACTTATTGCAAACTACATTTAATCTCTTTCAGAGACAACAAAACTAAAGAATGGCTACCGCACTGCACCTAGACAGGGCTTTCTTCTGTGTAGACATGTGGCTAATTACGTGTGCCAGAGAAATAGGTTATTACATGTGTTTATTTTAGAAATATGAAATATGAAACTCACCTATGTTCCTCGACAGTTTTCAGCATTTGGCCCCGCCCTACATTCCCAACATATCAAAAATCGAGCAAGTGGTACTCACTACAGAGTCAAATGACGACCAGCTCCTCCTCTAAGGAGCTCCAAAGGGGTGGGATTAGTCCAGCTCCTCCTCTCTGGAACTCCAAGGGGGTGGAAGCATAGAGTTGTGGGTAGGGTTAGGGTGTGATTGGATATTCTAGCTCCACCCATTAGACCCAAATTACACTCACTCCTCCTCGCTGGAGCTCTAGCAAGGAGGAGCTACCTGTAAGCTCCACCCATTTGTTCTGCAGTGAGCAGTTTCTCAAATCGAGCTCTTCCCGTCCGATGAAGAATCTTTCGTCCTTGAGAAATCTTTACCGAAAACCTCTGGCGTTATCTCGCGGGCGTCAGGCCAAACGAATGGATCCCAGAACGCCGAGGCCTACCTTCGCAACCGCGGGCAAACATCTGCGATCTCCTTCCGCGTCTTTCTCTATTCCAATCATTCGTACCATAGAGAAATGGACAATAAGGCCAGTCAAGCACCAAGCTCGCGTCTTGGCCTTCCTCTTCCCGCGAAGGAACGGGCCTTCCTTCAGCGTCAGGCCACCACAGCAGGCCTTCAGTAAGCCAGGGCCGTGGTCCAGCTCACACTCTCAACCCCATCGGCTCAACCCTGCAAGTCCACAGCTCAAATCGTTTTCGTTCAAATAAATGTAATATGTATCTGATTTAGAACTAACAGAAATCGGCAAGTAATGTAACAACCCATAGACAGATAACTGGTGAAAATAAACTGTTATGTTGAGGGTTCCTATGCAGTTTTGAAAAATATGGAATTTTTATTTGAGTAATTTCCAGGTTGGGATAAGTATGGAAAAGGTGTGTTTTTATGGCAAAAGTTTAGTGATTGTCGAACACAATTGAATAAATTCAAGGTGCACATTTTTATGCAAAGCTCTTTGTCTTTTATCATAAGTGATTCTCTTGTGAACTTTACTAAATGAATGTGCGTGTGCCACTCAAACCAGAAACAGATAAAGGAACAAACGAGCATCTAAATCTGACTGTACTTTGCTGTTTGATGATCATCCAACATTAAACGATTACAGTATCAAACCGATGTGTCAGAGGTGAATATATGCAGGTTATAAAGCGTTTTAGGCTTCTCATCATGTAAGTGCATGTTATCACTTTGAGAAAACCAATGGAAAAACCAGAGAAAATAAGAATATTTACAAAAACGTTTAACAATCGATCTCTCAGCCCCGCACGGTTTCCACTGAGCTCGGGGTTCCAATCACCCAGAATAAAACCATCGGTCCAGCCGTGAACCGCTGTCTTTGCTCAGCCACTTAAACTTCAGATGCGCATAATCCTGCAAGGCCGCTCTTTCATCTCACATCTCCTCCTTGGGTCCGCCAGGCCCCACTTTTCTCTTCCCTCTGCTCAGCCACAAAACGCGTTTTTTCCCTGCGCCACACCCCATACAACAATGCCCGGCCCTCTCAACGAATGCCTTCCCTTTAGCGTAAGGTTGCATCCGCTCATGGAGCAAGCTCAGTCGTCTCAGCCATTTCATTCTGCCGTCTCTCACCCTCCCCATTGTCTGTGGCCTGCAGCTCCTAGTGCAAGGCTGCCTCCGCTAGAGACGCAGGCCCAGATAACACTTCCTTCTCCTCCCGCTGCCTCGAACCTTTTTCCCTACCAGTGGCCCTACAGCTCCTTCAGCAGACCCTAGCGTGAGGATGCCCTCAACTAGCGGCTCAGGCCAAGTCATCAGTCTTTTTTGTCCTTGGCCTACAGCTCCAACCATTGACCCTAGCGAGAGCCTGCCTCCGCTAGTGGCGCAGGCCCAGATGACCTATTTTCCACCCCAACCTTCCTCTTCCTTTACCTTCCCCTTTACAACCCAAGCCCCAGGGGCCAACCCAAGCATGAGGCTGTCTCCGCAAACAATTTTTGCCCCGGGGCTTCCCCCTTCTCCTGCCCAGAAAATCTAGATCAGTGGTTCTCAACCTTGGTCCCACTGCTCTGCACATTTTATAGGTCTCCTTTATCTGACACACCCACTTCAATTAATAAAGCTCTTTCCTAATGAGCTGATGATCTGAATCAGGTGTCTTAAATGAGGGAGACATACAAACTGTGCAGAGCTGTGGTTCCCCAGGACCAGGATTGAGAACCACTGATCTAGATAGATAATAGCTAGATAATCATTTTCCCTCTTCTCTGCAACACAGATGCCCATACCACTGAATCCTTATCAGCTAAATTCTAAATTCACTCAAACCTACAAGCTCACCATATCCGCCTCAATTAACACCATCAATCCGCTAAAATAGTGAAAATATTCTACTTCAGTGCCGCAGCAGTGTCTTCCCACCCGTTCCTGCAGGAGCCCACTCTGTTATTGCACTGCTGCAGAAGTGTTATTTCCTACGTTCCTGCAGGAGCTCTGTCTCTGGCTAACCTTGCCTTCAGGGCCACAGCAGTGTTATCTCCCCGCTCCCGCAGGAGCTCAGTTCCTCTGGCTAACCTGCTCCACTGCCGTAGCAGTCCCTTCTGCTCCCTTCTGCTTCCACAGGAGCTAATTTTCTCTTGCTAACCTTGCCTTCACTGCCGCAGCAGTGTTATATCCCTGCTCCCACAGGAGCTCAGTTCTCTAGCAAAATTTCCTCCACTGCCACAGCAGTGATGTCCCACAGGAGCTCAATTTCTCTGGCTAATTTTCTACACTGCCACAGCAGCGATGTCCCCTCTGCTCCCGCAGGAGTTTAGTTTCTCTAGGAAAATGTTCTCCACTCCGGCAGCAGTGATGTCCCCTCTGCTCCCGCAGGAGCTCTGTTTCTTTTGGCTAATTTTCTCCACTGCTGCAGCAGTGATGTCCCCTCTGCTCCCGCAGGAGCTCTGTTTCTTTTGGCTAATTTTCTCCACTGCTGCAGCAGTGATGTCCCCTCTACTCCCACAGGAGCTCTGTACGGTGGCCGAGAGAGCTCAACGAGCTGCAACTGAAGAAAACGCATGCAAATAGAAGAACACCCACAAATTAAAAAAAACATCTTCATCAGTTTCACAACACATGTGTGCTTCAAATACTCACAACACAACCAAATACAGAAACGCGCTGCAAAAGTTCACAACAAAACCAAATACAGAAACGCACTGCAAATAACACAGACTACAACGGAAATGTTTCCAGGGGACCCCAATAAGTGACAGGTTGTACCTGTAAATGTTCAAATTTAAGTATCTGGAAAATTATTTACATTTCGCCTAAAGGATTATGCTGACAGCAAGTGAGGGGATTAAAATGTAACTGCAATAATTCTAACCGAATTCTAAAATATTATGCTAACATATTTTGCATCCAAATGTGTAAAGCACTTCAAATCTCTTTCCCCGATTACAGCAGCATTATAAACTGCAGTGTATATTGCTGCTGTTTGCAGCAATATTTACAGACATTTTTTAATTTAAAGACAAATTCAACAAAGCTTGTTCAGTAAACCATTTCTAAACAAACAAACAAATAAAAAAATATATATTTTTGTCCCCTGCTGTACCTAAATTGTAGCGAAACGGGAGTTATGTATCGAACCATCATTTTTGTGTACAGTTACACCCCTAATGTTTACGCAGTGTTTTTATAAAGGTAAAATGATATGTGCTTATTTCAGTAAACTGTTTGTCTATAGGGTATATTTCGAACGTTGCATGAAAAAAATGGAACACTGGTTTCATCGCATCCGCTTGTCAGAGAAAGTGTTAATAGCAGTATGAGCTGACACCGATATCTATGGATTTTTAAGGTAATCAGCTAACCACCCTAATTCACTTTGTTATTGACATTTTATTCTATTTAAATATCTAAACTTTAGTGTGAAGAAGGA